AAAATAAAACGTCTTGTCACCTCAGAGGATTGTTTATCACATATAACTTTGGACAAGCAGCAGGCGAGCGCGGGGCGCCTTTTGTTTTGGTCTCACAGAGTGGTGTCGACGTGACTAGAGTAACGTCTGTTAGGGCGAGGAGTACCAAGATGGCGGCCAAGTCAGCGTGTATATATGTTGGGTGTACCAAGCTGACAGACTTGCCTGCCATTGACCAAAGCTCCGCCCACCGTTAGCTGTCTGAGGGGGAGGGGGCATTTAAATGGCACACATGGGTTTGTTTAGTCCAGGCTTCCCCAAACTCCGGCCCTCCAGATGTTGCTGAACTACAACTCCCATGATTCTATGAATTAAATAGGTAGGCTGAGAATCATGGGAGTTGTAGTTCAGCAACATCTGGAGTTTGGGGAAGCACTTTGTAATTGAACTTCTCACCCCTTGAAGGTTCCTGATGCAATGTCTATCTGGGTTAGTGACTACTCACCAGGAGTGGGAATTGTCTTTAATTCAAACTAAATAAAAAAAAGTTAGTGAAAAACAGATGTGCCAACACTCACAAACACTCACACTGTGTGCTGCTTATATGCAAAAAGTGCTGGAAAAGAATACCTGAGCACACAGAAAGAAACTCAAAAATAGAGAAAAAGAAGGATACATTTATAAAGGTTTCGGAATCCATGTCCCTACGAGTATCACTTTGTAAAGTGTTTAAGCGGTAGTTGCAAATATTAGAAGCAATTTATGGAAGTCTGGGTAGCCTACTCCGACACTCATAGCCAAATAATAATAATAATAATAATAGCAAAGTATTTAACCAGGAAAGGTACATTCAGATTGCTCTGGTTTTCAGATACGTCCTATGGATGTTACTTTTGCCCCACATCTAGGGGATGTTACTATTATGTCAGGAACATGTGCCAGGACGGACTCCTACTGCCCCCCGAAATGTCACATGCTGCTCACTCTGATGCTTTCCCACTTTTGTATCTCTAAAATATCAGGCACCTTCAAACTGGATGCACCCTTAGGTTTTCCGGTGCCAACAAACTGATGCCAAATCTACAATATTCACTTTCATGTTAGTTAAAGCCCTTAAATAAAGTGCCCCAGCTACTATATTCACCTTTCTGACCACTGTTATCATTGACCTCTGCTGCTCCTTTGCTTTTGTTTCTGGAACCCTGACTTCAGCCAGTTTTGTGACCTTGTTTATCTCATTTCTTTCCTCCCCTTGTTTCATACCTCCCTGGAGGTATTTTCCATGAAATCTAACCACTCAATGGCCCAGCAATATACACATTCCTTTCACTTTTACTCTTTTGTCTTCTGGTTAGGGCCTGACATGTATTTGTGAGTTGCGTTAACAGCTGATCCCAACCCCAAAATAGTCTTTTATAGTGTCAGTGATATTTTAGGTATATACGTTTGGTGATATTTGAGAAGCGAGTTGCTTAGACGATGTGGGTTTAGAGAAGGACAGCAGAATGAAAGGTAAGAACAGTGGGTAATGTTGCAGTGATGGGGTAGCATGGGCAGGTGAGGGAAAATGTCTGTATAAATATTTATCAGAGTATGAACGTAAGGACTTTTCAAAGAAAATGAAAACATTGCCTTGTTATAAATTACATTTCAGTAGCATAAATCAGTTTGTGTAAAGATACACTGTTCTTGTTCTGAGTTACATTTTAGCTGTATAAGTTGTTATTAGTAAATCATCTAACGTTTTTGAGAAATGGACACACACCCACTCACACCATTAAAATTCAAGTTTTCCTCTTAGTCCATTTTAATGTTGGAAGTTGTGTAGAAATGTTTGAGACAGAAAATCTCTCTTGAGAGTAACAGGAGATTAATTTTACCTATCGAAGTCTCTTTCATGCTTCCCAGCATTTCAAATGGAAGAAGAGGAACACTTTAATTTTTAGGGTGTGATTAGGAGGGAGGTGTTCTTAGAACAGTTAAGTGACTTTTAGGTGACTTATTAATAAAAATGATTTATGCTACTGAAATGTAATTTAGAACAAGGACAATGTTTATTTTTTACATAGACTAATTTCTAAACAGTTATTTTATTTTAAAGACATATTACTGGGAGTATTATTGCTGTGGAGCTCTGCTAAACACTCAGACACATTACTGGGAGTATTATAGCTGTGGAGCTCTGTTATACACTCAGACACATTACTGGGAGTATTATTGCTGTGGAGCTCTGTTATACACTCAGGCACATTACTGGGAGTATTATCGCTGTGGGGCTCTGTTATATACTCAGACACATTACTGGGAGTATTATTGCTGGGGAGCTCTGTTATATACTCAGACACATTACTGGGAGTATTATTGCTGTGGAGCTCTGTTACACACTCAGACACATTACTGGGAGTATTATTGCTGTGGGGCTGTTATACACTCAGACACATTACTGGCAGTATTATGGCTGTGGAGCTCTGTTATACACTCAGACACATTACTGGGAGTATTATTACTGTGGAGCTCTGTTATACACTCAGGCACATTACTGGGAGTATTATCGCTGTGGGGCTCTGTTTTATACTCAGACACATTACTGGGAGTATTATTGCTGGGGAGCTCTGTTATACACTCAGTCACATTACTGGGAGTATTATTGCTGTGGGGCTGTTATACACTCAGACACATTACTGGGAGTATTATTGCTGTGGAGCTCTTTTATACACTCAGATACATTACTGGGAGTATTATTGCTGTGAAACTCTGATATACACTCAGACACTCTAACAATAGCATAGCAAGAAGTCAACCATTTAAAAATGGTGACATCTGTAGGAATGTAGCTGTCGTGTCCTGGTGCTGATAAACAGCCAACGAAGGCCGAGTGTCGCTGTCATTAGGGGGAAGTGTCCTGCTTGCGATTGTGTTCATTTGGGAATTTGTAATAAGGTTTAGGGTTTTTTTAGAATACCTTTGTCTCATCCATTCATTATTAAGTTTATTTGTAATTATAAATTTAGCAGAAGTGATAAGGATTTACCATCAGACTTAATCAAATCACATTGTCATTCATAGTTAATAGATTAAAGATGTTTGAAAGAAATCCCACTGAAAGGATCTACCGTAAATGTCTGTCCGCAACCCAAGAGAGTTGTGCAAATTTGCGCAATCACCTTTATCCATGCTGGAAAGTTTCACTAATTTACAGTTTGGCTGTGAATTGACAAGGAAATTGCACATTTTAGTTGAAGACTTCTCCAATCCAGCTACTTGGCCTGTGGCCCAGTTACCTCTTCAATTTCACGTTTAATGAGCTGACCCCTTCTCTTTTCATTACTAAGGAATTGAAGGGCCCTTTGCTGACATAGCCACCAATAATGGTTTTCCAGACAAATTGTTAGTCCAATGACAATCACATGACAAAATTAACTGCTTCAAGGTTAGAGTAGAAATCTGAACGTATGTGTCACTTTTGGTCTCTGAGCTTACATACCCAGCAGTAAGGCCAAAGGATTCTAGGTTAAACATTAGATTTTCTTGCTTGTCTTTGCTCTGTGTCCTCCATTGAACTCTGGCATGTTTCTTTTCTCTCGCCTGCCAGTTCGATTAACCAGATACAACCTGCATCCCAACACACTCTGACAGATTCTTCTTTCATCCAAAAAATCCTTTTTGTTTTTTACCAGCCCCTACGAAACCAGCATACAAAGCTGCAAGGGGTACGTATAAACCCTCAATCTTCTCACAGCATGACTTATATTTACCATTTAATACATTTTACATGTAACCAGTGTTTTCCATGTAATGCAACAATTAATGCTGGCACATACTGGGGGCTTGCTGATTGACGTTTCTTCCCTCTTCTCGCTTATTCTGGTATGCATTTGTTTTTCTATTTTATAATTTTTCTGTGATGGGTTGTTAAAATTTGATATCTCTAAGAATTAATAATAACATTGGTATTAAAGTATTCATTCACTATATATCCTGCTTGGATATTATTATAGAACTTCTGATAATTCTCTGGACATTATCAGTATGTGAGTCGTGCTTTATCTTTTTTGTCCCTATCCAATAATATTTTTATTCACATTATTGGTTGTGCTCCTTGATTGGATATTTTTTGTATTCTCATTTGGTCCTCTGAGAATAGGACTTTTTTTAAGTGAGCACCCAGACTTTAGTTTGTGCTGTTATTTTCTTATTAAATTTTGATTGACTGTGCCTACTTACTTCTAATTCTAACATACGGCATCCATAGTCAATCTTTTGGATGTTTAATCATCATACATGACTAAAACATGTTCCTGACTTTTGCAAAATTACAAAAACATTCTAAAAACATATTTGAGATCTTAGCATTGACTAACTGAAGGGTTTCTCTATTCTCTAGCTTTTGCCTGTTCTCCAAATTGTCATATTCTCTGTTTTATTGGCAACACATTAACTTGGGCTCTCCCTATGCTAAAAGGGTAATCCAGACTTGGACCCCTTGCTCACTGTGCCTCGAGGGTATCAGCTACATCTCGCTGATGAGGTCCAACGAAGGCTGAAACAATTGTCCAGGGTTGCTGTATCTCTTGTGCAGAGAGAACTTGCCGGCATTTTGGTTCCGGACTGCCCTTAATGGTGTGTTCAGTCTAATATGCAAATTGTATAGATTCTCTTTGTAATGGCACTAGTGAGCAAAAACATTTAGACTTAAACAGAGTCTAAACGAAGGGCAAGCTACAGAGTTTCTCTAAGCTTTGACCAGTTCTTTGCAAAAGGATGAAACCACTTATCACACAATATAAACTAATAGACAAAAGACTGCCTACAGTGCGCTGGCATAATGGGACTTCCCGATGATGCTGGTAGGAAATTGATAATGGCGCCAATCCCAATACATTTGCACAAGAAAAAGGTCATTACAATAAGCATGCAGTAGATGCTAAAACATTTTTATTAATCAGAAAATGTAAACAGCAAATAATTAAATAAAATATTTTAAAAAACGTGTTTTAATAAACCTGTAAAATATTCAGATTGTCAAAACTATAAAAACTAGTGATATAACCGGGAAAAAAAAAATCTACAAAATAAACACAAATTTTTAGGTACAGATAAGTTAACTTGGTTAGAAAATTAGGATTAACTTTCTATTGTTCACAATATAGCAGTGATTCAAAAAAACATATCAGCGTTGGTTTTCTCTAGAATCTATAGCGTCTGTCCTCCCACTTGTTTGCAGCAGTTAAATCCTCCAATTTTATGATCTATTCAGTCACGTAAAATGCCACTTAATGGTTTTTACGTGTGTGTTTGTTTAAAACGGCCTATAAAGTGCAATAATAAGGCTCCCCTGAAACAGGTAGAGGACACAAATATACTAGGGGGGTTTTGTGTTAGATTAGTGTTGTTTAACTGTTAAATTAAGAAAGATACCTAGAAATCTGTTTAAATAACAATGTAACTGGGCAAGATGGGGCCTTATAATATACATAGGCCTATACTTTGACAACATTCATCAAGAAGACAATTAGAATATCTATCTTCTCACTATTACAGGTTTGCTGAGTTTCAATGCACACGTTATTTGATGACCTCAATGGGAATTCGGGTTTTCACCTGCACTCACGGAGTTACTGCTCGGTCCAGTGGAAGCGTGCGGTTCTGCCAAGATTCCATCAGAATTCAAGCTGAAACGTCACGCTGCCAAGTTCAATGCAAACTACAGTGAAATATCCTATTTTGTATTCTGGTCTCATAGTGCAAATGACCTTCTTACATGATATGCTGATTGGAAACACGGAGGGGATATTCCATTTTAATCCCATGAATCTAAACCCATGATCTAGAATGCAGTATAGGTGCTAGACCTGGTGGGGTGACTCTTAGTTAGTCATTGATGGTTATTTATGATAGCACTGATTTCATAAATGTTGGGAAAAGTTCCCAGAGGGAGAAAACATTTATAACAAAAACATTCTAGGGTTTCCCTGGTAATTGCTCCATTTTGTTTTCCATTATAAATCTCCCCAGTGTTCTGTCAGCTATGACGTCTCCTACTTTGCATTGATGTCCACTGTAGGAAGAGGTAGCTGATGTGCTTGCTGGTTGGTAATTTCCAAGTCCTTCACCATTGCCCAGCAGCACGCTATATATGCTTGATGGGAGTTGTAGTCAAATAGCAAGTAAAGGGTACAAGTGCCCACCAAAGCTCTAGAGAGTGATTGATCTGGTCATGATTGATCCAAGTGTGACAGAGTTCCAGCTTAGCCTATTACTGAGTGATGAGCAGTCATCAAGTATGCAGAGAGTCTGTTATCTGCTAATTACCAAACACAATTAGTCAGCAGGTTTATTACGCCCAGACCTGATAGAGAATTGCTTATTATTCATGGTGGATTTAATTGAAGCATGGGTTAAGACGTCCCGGCTGGTGACTGAAGTGCTTGGAGCAGTTTGCTGTATTCATGTGCAGGAATATGCACACATTGAGGTTGACGTGACTTGGTGGCTGGAACTGAGGAGAACTCAGAGTAATGTAATTTCGCTGGGCGGGAGAGTGAGGCGTTTATCACACTTCACTAGGAGATTCTCCATGTGAACAGCGACCACTCTGCAGAGCTCCAGACCCTATACACAAAGGAGAAGACATTTTATGTGATTTATGTAAGGCGTATATGCCCCGTACTGTGCATTGTAATTCTTCAACTATTCAATTTAGGGGGTACACATCATAACTTTAGGTAATCATAAACAACAATGTTATGATAATTACAACCAAAAAGTGGACAGTACTTAAAATAAAAGAATTAAAAAAATATATATTTTTAAAAAACCCATTGCATATACAACTGAAATTTTGTGTACCAGTAACCCAGCAACAATCACTCAAAAGTTACATATAATACACATATACCAAAAAGAAGAGTTTCAAATTTTGAAAGGAAATAGATTTTTGTTTCAATTGAAGTGTATGTAAAAACAAACCCAGAGAAAAACTCATCCCCACCTTTAGTTTATGATAGAAGCATTCAGCCATATGCAAGCACCTTGGGCCAGATAGTGCTTGAAAACTGACAGTTAGTCTCTATGGTCTTTCAAGTTTCTGTGCAGGGAGTGAAGCCGGGAAGACCATAGAGACTAGCTGTCTCAGTTTTCAAACACTGTCTGAACCAAGGTGCTTGTGGCTGAAGGATCCTGTCATATATTGCAGGTAGGGCTTTTCTCATTATTTTTTACATATACTTAATTTGAAAAAAAAAAATCTATTTCCTTTCAAAACTTAATGAAATTATTATTCTGTTAAAAATGTTTTGATGTGACAGTTGTCCTTTAAGAACCCCATCACCAAGTTCCTTTCTCCATGCACATGGTGGTGTAAAGGTGAGAGGTGTGATGTGGTTCTGGTGTAGTGGAGTTGCTGAGAGCCCTATGCGGGTCATAGAAAGGTCTTCTCTCCCTGCTCACTCTATGTCCACTGATCCCCATCAGTCAAAGCACAGGCTAGTTTGGACATAAGCAAGAGGTTTCTAAGGACTAGGCAGAGTGCCAAAGCAGTATATTAACAATATTACTATTCTAACTTTTTTGACACTGTGATGTCAGCTTAGATGATCAAGTTGGGGCAGTTGGTACATTTTTTATTTTCCAGTTTCCCTGGATGTTTGAACCCTTTAGCTACGCTGTATGCAGTTAATTAATGATTTTGTTAGTTCTTTTCTAACTAATGTATCCGGATTGAGTAACTAAGGTGTTAGGTGAAACAGACAAACATATACACCTTGTACTGATTATATGGATTAGTAACATAATGTTAAGCAGGAATATGAAAGAAGACAGATAACATACCCCGTATTATCTGGCCTGGCAAAACATCCACAGCGATAGGCAAGAAGTCAGAAAATAGAGAAGAAAGAAAGATTTTGCAGATAGAATGCAGTTAGAGCTTCCTTTTCCTATTATAATCTCTAATATCAATGCCAGAAGTGCAGAATATGGGGCAAATTATTCAGGTGGAATGGGAATTTAGCAATGTCACTTTTAAAGCATTTAGCAATCAACATATACATTCGTTATTTATAACATGTGATAGTAGCGGCCATCTTTACATGTAAGATGGCTGCCTCTTCCTTCATTAGATACTCTCGGATCATAACCACAACAGATTATTGTGCTTATACAGAATAGTTTCGTGGTTTTGGTGCGGGGAATCTTTGGCTGCGGTCCATACATTTTCATGAAACGTTTCGAGACATTCAATAACATTTAGGGTTTTCCTAGTTTAGTTAATCTGGGTCCTCTCCTGTCGCCAAGATAATGCAGAATTTCAAATCCATATTATCCAACCATATCTATATGGTAATGATAGTCTGTTAGCATAAAGCTATGCCACCATCAGTTCTTAGAGCCCATCAATGATTTCCATATTGGTATTGATAATGACAAAGTGAAATTCTTCATTACTGCTTGAAAACAGTCTGACAAAAAACTGAGAGATTGCACCCAAAGACTGGCAAAATTAACTGTAACGACACAATAACCTGGAGTGGTTTTGGCACTCAAAGTGTTCAATTAAACTAATTTTATTCTTATAGATGTGAAGATGCAAAAATACACTCCTTGTTGGGCACTAATTTTATGATTTTCATGCATAAATTGCTTTGTTATTAGGGATGTGCATGGGAAAAATATTTGGTTCGGGACTTCTGAACTTCAGGACTTCGGGTAAGGTTAAGGGTAGTGTTAGGTTAGGGGTAGGGTTAGGGGGAGGGTTAAGGGTAGGGTTAAGGATAGGGTTAGAGATAGGGTTAGGGGTAGGGTAGGGTTAGAGGTAGGGTTAGGGGTAGGGTAGGGTTAGAGGTAGGGTTAGGGGTAGGGTAGGGTTAGAGGTAGGGTTAGGTTAGGAGTAGGGGTAGGGTTAGGCGTAGGGTTGGGAGCAAGGTTAGGAATAGGGTTAGGCTTACCCTACCCCAACCCTCTCCTGTTTTGCCACTTTTTTAGAAATCCAAAGCACTTCGGCAATTCAGTTCGGCATTCCAAAATTCGGCAATTAGGCACTTTTGACATTCGGAAGCATCTGAATGTCTGAATTTCTGAAATTCGTCCGAATTTGCATTCGGAACGAAATGAATTGCACATGTCTAATTGTTATGGCATGATTTTCCTTTAGCCAAAAAGGATAGCATTGCAGCGGTTTCCTTTCAATCAATGGCACATTAGTAATTTGGTATTTCTTTCACTATAGTTTGGTTTATAGTGAATAAAACATAGACATTTGCATATTTCCCATACCTGCTCCAGCTGTAGCTGTGTTACTCTATGGGACATCATGTCTCCCTGTGTAATGTCTACATAAGGGTAACTAAAACCGGATGCGGGACGTTGGGTTCTCGTACTCTGGATCTCCTTCAGAGGGAATGTCACCACCAGCTCCTACACCCAAACAAAAATCATTTAAAAGAAATCATTATTTTTATAGGGGTAGTTAAAAGAATTTCCAAATCTATGGCCCTACACAACATCCCTATCTACCAAGACGTACGTGAGTTTCTTTGTTGAGGAAGTTCAGCCCGTTCTGGTTGACGGCCAAGATACAAGGGGACATAACCAGGTTGTTGCTACAGCTTTGAACATAGAAGAAAGATGATCCAAACATGGGGAAGGCGCTCACAAGACCTGTATGGAAAGAAGTTTTACCAATCAGCTCTGTCCACCTAGAACATGCAGGTTAGTGCTGGTAGCCGTACATGGCCAAAATATGAATGTCTCTAAATTTCTATACCTAAAAACTGAGCCCGTCCCTGGTGGGGGCTGAGTGGCTGGATCTGTTGCATGTGCTGCATCACCATATTTAGCCAAGATTGGGGCTTCACTACTTTGTAGAATTGGCCTGGGATATAATCCTGAACTTCCCGGCTGTAGAAAGAAAGACATCATAATAACAGAATTTTAGCATATATGCATAGTATGGCTGCAGCAAGCTTACAAATCCAATATTTTCCTTCCACAAGAGCAAGATCTACTAATTGGAACTTTACGCTGCCGTCTTACTCCTGGTAAACTCATGAAGCAATTCTACAACGTTTGCCTTCCTTTTACAAAGATCTACACAGTAGTAGGCTGTTCTTCGTTATATTTGTAACTTTTCAATGAAGATGAATTTAAGCAAAATACCCTTGCAGTAAAGACACAGTAATTGTGTTATGGCCAAATATTATAACCACTTTGTGATTTTTATTATATTTACTGTGCATTTACAGTCTGCTAAATTAATCACAGGTCTCCATGGCTTCTAACAGATTGGGGACGAACACTGCAACCAAGGCTTTCAGTGCATTTGCCCAGGATACTGGCAGAGTCTCTGGCACAGAAAATGCCTGATATTCAGACTCAGTCATTTACACCATCATATGTGTCTTGTCCTTTTCAGAAGACTGTATGGTCCTGTCTTTGTATGGCTTTGCGGCTGTTACATACACAGTAGGGAGGTAAACGCTGTCTTTGGCTCGGTGTTGGAGAGCTGCCAGCCTTGAAATCTGCTGAAACTGTTGCTCCGTTGGTTTCATATGGGACAGGACATTAAATAATCCTTTTAGATAATCAGGAAGCACCTGGGATGGGAGATTAGCAGAAGACAAAATGATCAAATTGGGATTTTGAGAAAGAGCATCATTTATAAAGTATAGGAAAGAGTAAATTGGCCCAAAATATTGGTACTTAATCAATAATTGTGCAACAGTTGGCTGTGGGTAATGGGTGTGATATGACAGCAAGACGGTTATAGTTTCCTTGCTGTGAATTACAACTCCAACCAGTGCTGAGGAGACACCTAGCCCAATGGCAAATCTATCAGTCACAGATTGGCCATCCTAATCCAAGCTGGGTGCACAGAAGATAAGTGGGGACAGACCTTTTCATGCAGATGTAGTGCTTACAGGGAACCGCCACTTAGGTACCTGGTTGTAATGCATCGTCACGTAGAGTTCATTTTCAAACTTCAGAGACTGTGCCCAGATAACCCGTCTGAACCAGAACATGTAGTTGCTATCCGTCTGCTCCATCTCAGCAGACACATCGAGGATATATTCCTTCCGATTCAGCGGCCGCACATTCTGGCCTGCAGGGAATGAGGACACTGGAACTGAATTACTGCGCACACGAGCTTGTATCCAGAGACAACATGCATCACCAAGTCGCTTTCTGTGACATTAAATCTATACATTCGAGGTTACCCTTTCATCTGGAAGTTTTGGAGAACTGACAAGAGAATTGCAAATTTTAGCCCAAATCAGTCAAGTTGGAAAAAGAGCCATTTGGAGAATTTCTTTTTTCTAACTTGAATATTTTGACGTAAAATTTTAACTTCTCCACAGTCAGCGGTTTGTGCATAAATCGGACTGTGTTAGTTAAATTAGCAGCATTTATACAGTTTAAATGATAAACTCCAGTTCATTGCCACATGCTCCATCTGCATATACGCTCTCCTACAAATCCAAGCACAGCATTATATGCCGTCACAGAAAGCACAACTGTCAAATTTGTTGCTGAAATCGTAAAGTAAAAAAATGAGTCTATGCCTTGTCAATTCTAGTGTACAGGTTATATCTTAAATGTGATACGTGCACTTTAAAGGGGCTCTCTAAGTACCATAACCACTGCAGCTTATCAGTACAGCTAAAGCAATATTAACATAGAGACAAAGTTGAGTGGCTAATTTGGAGGATAACTTCTGCATTAGCTGAGCCGCAACAGAGGAACCTCTAGGCTCTGGGAACATTATAATCAGTTGTACCTTCAGTGCTTAGAGTGTCCATTTAAACAACTAATTATGGCTTTAATCCTGTCCAACTTCTCTATATGAGCGAATACATTTTATGCTGATCACGTCAAGGACAAGCCAGCAGACGGCAAACAGCATCATTCAATATGTACATAGGACAATGAAGACAGTTCAGTTTTATCCCTTGAAATGCTGAAGTCTGTCCAGCTACCTCCAGATTTTTCTTTTTTATGGCATTTCCTAATCCTCCTTCTCCTTCAGCCAGGAAGTGGGTGAGATATCCCAGCCAATTATGTGAGCCAAGAGGAAGTGACACCTGGGCATGTTTTCCTGCCTTAGTAATGGGAAATCCTCTGACTTACCTCTGTTGGTTACAGCAAAAATAGCGTATTCACTAAAGGCTTCATCCTTGTGCACTCCCATTTCCATGCAGATTTCCTCTACAACGTCAAACGCCACCTGTCCCAAAACAGCTTGTTACTGCTGTGCTAAAGGAAGTATGATGTCTGCACTAACACAGACACATAACTAGCACTTCAAATGCAGAGAAACCCTAATCTCACATTACAATACTGAACAAAATGGAAAAAAAACTATTATATAGATATATATATTAAAAAAGTTATTCGCAATATAGTAAAGCAGTTAGAGGGTACAGAGGTCAATTTTATTTAACTAATGGCATTTATTACAAAATTGTAATGTAAATGAGACCAGCCTTCGTATTTTTCACTGTCCAATAAGGTTTAGCGTCAGACTTTCCTGCTTCTTCCTGTTTAATTTTGGATTTCCCCGGTCCATCACCAGAGATATCCCATGATGCCTATCTCCTCAATGTTTTTTTTTCCCCGTGAAGAAGTTTGCATGCTTGTACAGTGTTTTTTTGTGGTGTTTTACAATGCATAAATACACACAAAGTGAATACGACATTGAAATGTCACACCACCATACATACACAGTGATGTCATTAGCGAAGAGTCAGAAAGGACAAGGCAGGCTTGTGACAGCCTGGATGCCGACACGAGAATAAGGAGTTAAACAGGGATCGCCAGAGGTAGGAATATGCTACTTCAAGGCAGATTCCAATGGAAGGAAGGAAAGTCTGTGTCAAATAGCGAGGCAGCTGTCTTTTACAGAGCTGCTTATATGACTACGTTAGCAATCTATATTAAAGAAATAAGAAAACGTGATCACGGTATTCCTTTAAAGAGAAGAAAGATACGTTTCTACTAACTGAACAAGTCTTGATCTTCAAATGCCTCTCAATTCCTCCCGGCAAAAGGAAGAGCTGTCTCTTAGAGCTTCTTCCAGCCTGTGAGCAAAAGAAACGTCTGATTAGATCACTTGGAATAAGTCCAACGATAAACATAAGAATAACAAAACAATAATAAAAGAGAAAGGTTTTAAAAATCCATTAAGATTAGGGAGCCTAAACATTCTGTATACGTATAGATGTTCTTAACAATGTTTTCAGCATCTGATGGGCCGACAGCTACACTGTATTCACTTCTTTGATGTCATCCAATCACAGTGATGCGATTCTGGGCCTGTTTTTACTATTGAAACTGTAGGCACGTTTAAGGAATGAATCAACTTACCACTGGTAAACTCAATGTCCATATTCTCAATAACTTACCACCATGGCTTTCAGCTCCATAGTGCTAGGATAAACTGTGCGGCCCCCATATTGCAGTGTCTTGCGCAGATTCTGCTCACAAGCCTTTGCAATCCCTGGACAATGTGACACAACACTTATTAATACTTAATACTCTACAGCACAGTGCTATCAGCCTTGCACTGATTCATGGTTACCTTGGAAATGTAAACCTGGACTGCGGCAGGTATCTTGTAGGAACTTGAACAAGTAAGGCTTGAGGACCTCCGAACATTTGTAATAAGCCGTCAGTATGTATAGGAGTCTCCACCCTCTCTGACAGGAGTCTCTGAATAAAAGAGAAACCAGGTAAGTGGTCACAGCATTGGCCATATTCATCAGATTAAAACAAGCCAGGAGGCAGCAACGGCTAAAGAGATGGATGGTATCCATCACTTAAAGGGATACTCCAGAGCTCTAAAGCTCTTTAGCTTGCTTAATTGCTTTATGTATGCAAAGTGTGTCCTCTTATCATTTTACAATAGATTTCAATAGAAATTGGCATTTTCATAAATTAAACTTGTTCCATCCCCCCTAGCTGTCAAACAACTAGTCCTGTTGCTTCCTGGTTATTTAGCTCAGTAGATCTAAACTCAAGAGGCAGCAATTGCCCAAAGCACCTGCCTTGCAAAGACTTCTCATTGAGCTGCATTGGGAAGGTTGTGATTGGACAGAACCACAAAGTCTGGGCGCGGTTAAAAGAGGAGGGTTTGTAAAGGCTGTAGATTAGAGATCTGCAGCTTTTGCTCCAAAACGTTAAATGCATGCATGTTTTCATTGGGGTTACCTCTACTAAGCAGCAATTTTTTTTAATTTTTTTTGGCCAGTGGAGTGGAGTGTCCCTTTAAAGAATTCACAGCTGCGTGGAGCTGATAATACTAAATAATCAGAATGTTCCATACTGGCAAAAGATATTTTGGAACAGTAAAGCATGTCATTGGTTAGCATGGCGTTATATAATAATGTATGTGCACAATACATTTCCTATGTTACTACATAGCAAACTGCATACTAACAGGGTTATTCACAAACGTGAGAATACATGTGCCTATTTATTTTTTATATAGAAACGGCTTCCATTCACTACACATCCTTTGTAGTACAAACATATAGACGGTTGTTTAACCGCGGAGGAACCTCCCTGCGCCTGCGGCAGTATTGACACTCACGTTTTAGTACTGGCGTTATCTGTGACCTGTTTGATGATCTGGCAATACCCTTCATCTTTCAGGACCTCGTGCTCCCCACACAGCTGCAATGACATGTGACAAACTGTCAGCTTCTCCTCTGCATCCACGTGTCAAGGATTTAAATAACCACTTGGGTTACTTGCACTTATTGTTATATTTCATTCTCCAACATGATAAGAGGGGACACAGCAGCCAGAACAAGTTGGGGAGACGGAGTAATGGAGGAAAGGTATTATGTAATCAAGTGAAGACATGTCTGTCCTTATTTTAATCAATAAGTACCACATTTTTCTAGCTCATTATTTACATTTACAAAGGTGGACAAATAACAAATGCATGCTGCATCATTAAGATTTACCGGGTTTACCTTTTTATGTCCGCAGCAACTATATCTAAACCTCATAAAAACACTGCGCTTAAAACCTATAGCCTGAAAACGTACTCTCAGATAAGTCATTATAAATTCCATTAAACCAACCAACGTAAATGTAGTGTGCAGCCAAAGTAGACCCATCCAAATAGGGAAACTAATGGAGTGAAATGCTCATATTTGTCAAGTCTTTCTGTATTTGATCTCTGAACCTTGAGCTGTTGCATGAGTTTCGCTTGACCGCTGATGTTAGGTCCCCACACTCCCCACGGTTTACCTCGATCTCCCACTCCACATCTCCCGCTCTCCTTGCAGAGATGTCAATTAGGCATGTGCATGGGGAAAATATTTGGCTCAGTTCAGCGTTCCGAAATTCTGGACTTCGACACTTCGGAACTTCGGCAACTTCGGCACTTCGGAACTTCGGCAACTTCGGCACTTCGGATCTTAGACACTTCGGAACTCTGGCATTTTTTGGGACTTTTCTTGCAGCCACTTGGTAGATAACTCCCTAATTCCCACGGTATTAGGGAGTTATCTACCAAAAGGCTGAAAGACCTAAATTGGTCTTTCAGCCAAATTTACCAATACTAATAGGCCCCCCTGTCAATTTGTATTTAGGGCCCCCACCCACCGCTCAGGGGTGGGGGACAGGGGGGAGGACATTAGGTCCCTCCCCTTATTCTTGTTTAGGGCCCACACCCACCGCTCAGGGGTGGGGGCCAGGGGGGAGGACATTAGGTCCCCCCCCCCAATTTGTATTTAGGGCCCCCACTCACCGCTCAGGGGTGGGGGGCAGGGGGAAGGACATTAGGTCCCCCCCCCTTATTCTTGTTTAGGGCCCCCACCCACCGCGCATAGACATGCCCCTACTCAGTATAGCGAGTAGGGGCATAATTTACTAATACTAAGTAATCTTTACTTAGTATTAGTAAATTTGGCTTAAAGACCAATTTAGGTCTTTCAGCCTTTTAGTAGATAGCTCCCTAATACCGTGGGAATTAGAGAGTTATCTACTTATTCATTCCTGTCATTACACTGACTGGCTAAGTAACTTACATTTTATATGAATGTATGTTACTTGATTGTTGTAAGTGTTGCAAACGCTTACAGCTGAATCCTGTCTATGTTTGTATACTTTTTATTTGAAATTGTATACAGTGTAACATTGTTCTTCTTTCACTGGGTAAGTATATTAGTACTTAGGCAATACTGTGCTTCGGTACTTCGGCACTTTGACACCTCAGAATTTCGGAACTTCGGCACTTCAGCAATTCGGCACTTCGGCACTTCGGCAATTCGGCACTTCAGCTATTCGGACATTCGGAAGCCACCGAATGTCCGAATTAACCGAAATTCGGATGAATTTTAATTCGGACCGAAACGAATTGCACATGTCTAATGTCAATCTCCTAAGAGATTTGGTCTGACCAATTTGACATCGCAAATTGGTAGCGAGCCTACTTCCCTGCTTAAGTGGCAGTGCCACGATTTCCTCACACCCGCGAACTGGCCGGGAAGGGCTTCCCCAATTTGGTGTGGTGGATAGGCTGGGTCTCTGCAGGGTCCAGCCTTCCTGGGCACATGCATGTTGGGAAGGTACTCTTAAAGGGGTAGGGGGTGGTATAAGTAGGGAGGTGTGTCAGGAGCCCAGGGATGATTTGGAAAGGATCCTATATCACATATAGAACAGCCTGTCTCCTAGCCCCCTTTGCTAAAGTTGTACTGCAGTGTTCACTTCAGTGAGCCTAGCCTGCAATATTTGACTACACGGTATCTGACCGTCTGCTTGTTTTATTGTATACGAACCTGTGTTGCCTGTCCTGATCGTTGGCTTTTCTGACTATGTCACTGCTCATTCCCTATCTGTATTGCATATGGTGTATTTCTCCAGCTACCTGCTGCATTTTGGGCTCTTTCTGTTAAACTTTATAGCTGATTGCACTGAGCTGGTCCACAAGTCACTGTTTCAGCCCTAATTTCTCGGCTTCCATAGAGTGTGTAGGTTTAATCCAAACATGGTAAAAACTTACCTATAGGAGGCTGCAAATGGCACATGGTTCTGCCAGACTCAACTTGTAAACATGTTCAAAAGAAAAAAGCAACATGTTTGACCCCTGATTGCTGGGATTTGAGTTAGTGTATGAGACGCCATGTTTGACCCCTGATAGCTGGGATTTAAGTTAGTGTATGAAACTCCATGTTTGGCCCCTTATTGCCGGGCCTTGAGCAGGTGTATAAGACTCCATGTTTGACCCCTGATTGCTGGGATTTGAGTTAGTGTACAATATGCCATGTTTGACCCCTGATTGCTGGGATTTGAGTTAGTGTATGAGACGCCATGTTTGACCCCTGATAGCTGGGATTTAAGTTAGTGTATGAAACTCCATGTTTGGCCCCTTATTGCCGGGCCTTGAGCAGGTGTATAAGACTCCATGTTTGACCCCTGATTGCTGGGATTTGAGTTAGTGTACAATATGCCATGTTTGACCCCTGATTGCTGGGATTTGAGTTAGTGTATGAGACGCCATGTTTGACCCCTGATAGCTGGGATTTAAGTTAGTGTACAATATGCCATGTTTGTCCCCGATTGCTGGGATTTGAGTTAGTGTACAATATGCCATGTTTGTCCCCTGATTTCTGGGATTTGAGTTAGTGTATGAGACGCCATGTTTGTCCCCGATTGCTGGGATTTGAGTTAGTGTACAATATGCCATGTTTGTCCCCTGATTGCTGGGATTTGAGTTAGTGTATGAGACGCCATGTTTGATCCTGATTGCTGGGATTTGAGTTAGTGTACAATATGCCATGTTTGTCCCCTGATTGCTGGGATTTGAGTTAGTGTATGAGACGCCATGTTTGACCCCTGATTGCTGGGATTTGAGTTAGTGTACGAGACGCCATGTTTGACCCCTGATTGCTGGGATTTGAGTTAGTGTACGAGATGCCATGTTTGACCCCTGATTGCTGGGATTTGAGTTAGTGTACAATATGCCATGTTTGACCCCTGATTGCTGGGATTTGAGTTAGTGTACGAGATGCCATGTTTGACCCCTGATTGCTGGGATTTGAGTTAGTGTACGAGACGTCATGTTTGACCACTTATTGCTGGGATATGAGTTAGTGTACGAGACGCCATGTTTGATCCTGATTGCTGGGATTTGGGTTAGTGTATGAGACGCCATGTTTGATCCTGATTGCTGGGATTTGAGTTAGTGTACGAGACGCCATGTTTGACCACTTATTGCTGGAATTTGAGTTAGTGTACAATATGCCATGTTTGACCCCTGATTGCTGGGATTTGAGTTAGTGTACGAGATGCCATGTTTGACCCCTGATTGCTGGGATTTGAGTTAGTGTACGAGACGTCATGTTTGACCACTTATTGCTGGGATATGAGTTAGTGTACGAGACGCCATGTTTGATCCTGATTGCTGGGATTTGGGTTAGTGTATGAGACGCCATGTTTGATCCTGATTGCTGGGATTTGAGTTAGTGTACGAGACGCCATGTTTGACCACTTATTGCTGGAATTTGAGTTAGTGTACTAGACGCCATGTTTGACCCCTGGTTGCTGGGATTTGAGCTAGTGTACGAGACGCCATGTTTGACCACTTATTGCTGGAATTTGAGTTAGTGTACTAGACGCCATGTTTGACCCCTGGTTGCTGGGATTTGAGCTAGTGAATGAGATGCCATGTTTGACCCCTGGTTGCTGGGATTTGAGCTAGTGAATGAGACGCCATGTTTGACCCCTGGTTGCTGGGATTTGAGCTAGTGAATGAGACACCATGTTTGACCCCTGGTTGCTGGGATTTGAGCTAGTGAATGAGACGCCATGTTTGACCCCTGGTTGCTGGGATTTGAGCTAGTGAATGAGACGCCATGTTTGACCCCTGGTTGCTGGGATTTGAGCTAGTGAATGAGACACCATGTTTGACCCCTGGTTGCTGGGATTTGAGCTAGTGAATGAGACGCCATGTTTGACCCCTGGTTGCTGGGATTTGAGCTAGTGAATGAGACGCCATGTTTGACCCCTGGTTGCTGGGATTTGAGCTAGTGAATGAGACACCATGTTTGACCCCTGGTTGCTGGGATTTGAGCTAGTGAATGAGACACCATGTTTGACCCCTGGTTGCTGGGATTTGAGCTAGTGTATGAGACTCCATGTTTGACCCCTGATTGCTGGGATTTGAGTTAGTGTACTAGACGCCATGTTTGACTCCTGGTTGCTGGGATTTGAGTTAGTGTACTAGACGCCATGTTTGACTCCTGGTTGCTAGGATTTGAGTTAGTGAATGAGACGCCATGTTTGACCCCTGGTTGCTGGGATTTGAGCTAGTGAATGAGACGCCATGTTTGACCCCTGGTTGCTGGGATTTAAGCTAGTGAATGAAACAACATGGGATTTAGTGTAGGAGACATCTTATATGACCCCTATTTGTGGAGGGAGTTTCGTCCAGACCATGTACAGTGTTACCCCAAAATTATGGCTCTCCACTTGCTTTGAGGAAGAACTAGAGCTGGTGAGTTAGTTAGAATCCCTTTTTGTTGCTCCAGAAAATGAGATTTCCATCTAGTAAACTAGTTTTCTTCCTAGGTATGGCAGATAGGCCCTCAGCATTATAATGGCAGAGCATGAAACAGACACTTTACCTTTAAAACCGTGCAGACGGCGTCCAGCTCAGACTGACCTTTCATGGGAGCGTCTCCCATAAACCTCATCACAGCTGCAGGAGACGGAGGACAGTGATCAGAATCAGCCACATTTTTATATATTTAATACAATTAAGCCATTATTATGTTAAATTACACTATGTCCATTTCAGTGACAGGTTTATCATCCTTCCTCCCATGTGTACATTTAATACACTGAATTCATATTGTTCTGTATCCAAACTATGAATGATAGAGTTTTACCCATGAAAACCTCTGCGGCGACCCGGTTCATGTTGCTGTCGCTGAATTCAATGAGGGATTCTTGGATGGGATTCTGTACAGAAAAGAGTAGAAAATCCATTGATATAAATAATATGGAAACAGCCAATGCCTATCGGTGGCAAGAACTGGAGTATAGCGATATATGCACTCCCAGCATTGTGTAAAGCTAGCTGTTACCGCTGCATGGCGTGTAGCTATATATTACTCAATATTGTGTAAAGCTAGCCGTTACAGCTGCATGGTGTGTAGCTATATATTAAATAGAAGGTGATGTATCTCAGCTTTGTAAATGGTTAAGTGTGAGCGCTCAGCGTAGTGTGACTGCGTGCAGTGTGCATCTGGTTTTAGCATATTTAATGAACGAGAAGTTGATGATTAAATGACACGCCTAACACCCGAACGTTTTAGAATGATTGGTAGGAGGCTGTAACATGTCAACTGGCCATGCGCTTGGTTACATCTCACCCATAATAAATATGGGATTACCTTGGTAAATTTCAGCATGTCAGCTGGGTCTTTCACTTCTTTGCTTTTCTTTGAGCCCTGTTTGAAGGATTCCCTAGAGAATAAGATTATTTCCTTGTTAAGTAAGCTCGTTAACATACAAACTTGCCCGCACCATTTTATGGGTTTCAGCAAATTCAATGGTGAAAAGCATCGGGCTATCAAAGTAATCCAATGCTGAGATCATTTGTTTCCAGGGACACATTCGTGGTTATTCACCAACGTGAAAATTGCCGAAAATTCAAAGGGATTTTCAAATTTAAGGAAACATTATCCAAACTGGAAAAATTCTCCAAGTCAGCTAATCTTCCAGTTTGGCTATTTTGGTCTTAAATTAAAATTTTGATTTTGAATTCACTTTGAATTTCTGACAATTCTCACTTTCACTTTCACACTTTGTATCATACCCTGAGGTCTTTGCCTGTTCGTCTTGTGTTTGTGCCATCATTCTTTGCCCCTCTCGGAAATATTTCTTGGCAAAATCCACCATATTATATGGAGATCCCTGTAACATAACCTCAGACGAGGCAGGATCCGTGTAGTCATCCAAACTGTCTGCATATTCACTGGGAGTGGGAGAGCCCTGGAGGGGGCATAGGAGGAGAAACAGGTTGAGTGGGGTAAAAGAGGAAGAGGAAAAGGTGGGTGGAAAGAGAAAAAGAAACAGGAAAAAGAGGGGGACAGAAATACAAACAACAAGGGGCGATCTTTGCACCCAATTTAGCCTCTGGTCAAGATTGTCAACCTTGTGTTGCTACACACAGTGATATCAACAAACATTAACTAAAGTGAGAATTGAAAGTGAATTTTAAATTTAAGGCCACAGTAACCAAAGTGAAAGCACAGCTGACATACAGAATTTTTCCACTTTGACTATGTGAAATTTAAATATGAAATTCACTTTGATTTCACTTAGATTTTAATTTAAATTAAGCAAAAGTCTGTTTTTTCCATATTACGATGCGAGAATGTCAGAGAGGTCAGGACATGGAAGTTTACCCTTTAAACAAAGTTTGTGGAGAAAAAAAAAATTGAGGGATGTAACATTTTGACACTGTTTTAACATACATCCGTTTTCTTGTCAAACTCCTGAGCCACGGCAGTTGAGGCAACGGCCACGGCCACTGCAGCTGACGCTGCTGCACGACTCTGCCTGTCTCGTGGTTCATCCTTCCTGTCTGCTGGGAGGTTGACAAAATCTGGCGCTGCGACCGGCTGCACACACTCTGCTGGGAAGAGACCGGCTCGACCATGGATCGCCCCAAACTTCCAGCCTGTGAGTAACACAGTGCGCTTGTTAGACGTTACAAAGAAACAGGGAGGCAACTGCATGGCCCGGTAACAAATGAAATGAATCATGCATGCCAAACTAACCAATAAAAATGCTGCATGCATTAAGTATCCATGGAGCCAATAGCATGCAAACACTCACACAAATACAATGATTGTTGGGAAGGTCTGTGTCATTCAGGCCCAAATGGTGGGAAAACTGGTTTAATGAATCCAGAGATGCCATACAAGGGAAAATGTTCTTGTAAATGGGTCTGTTGTTGGGTAGTCTTAGTCAGGATGATTAAGAGGCAAATCGTAATAACTTTTTTGTTACTAACTAAATTAAAAATACAAAACAAAAAAAATACCAAAAACAAAGTAGCTAAAATTACAGTAACCAATTCATATTGACTTCTGAATTTGGGCCTGTGTAGTGCGACAGTTCTCAAATTGCACAAACCATTTTTCTGTCAAAGCCAGAATATGTTATGATCTTGAAACATGGCCTAAACTGTGATTTCATTGTTAATCTTGCAATGTCTATCTAATGGGCAGGTATCACAAAAAAAAGAGGTTTCAGCTTTCTGGGATCTGGGTACAGACAGTCAGGTATATTAATCATGTAGCAGGTGGCAGCTGTGTCATTCACCCATTCCATATGGACATTGTAATGGCTCGCAATTACTTTTTTTCCAGTTAAACTGCTAACTCCTTTTTGGCAGAATTGTGATTACTGAAACTTGCAGGTTCAATGTAAAGTATATGGCCTTTTTCATTGATCCAATAATGAAAACAAGTTCTGTAGAACAATATTGGAATGGTGGCACTGTGACCAATTTTACATCATTAACGGCTCATTAGCAGTTAACTAAGCAGTTAACATGTCTGTTAAATATGAAATTGTCATTTTGCATGTTATTCAGTAACCTTTAGATGTAGGAAATTCCAGGGACATTAATGTGGACGTTGATTAAAATGGATGCACAAAGGGTACATTTTAGCATTCTTTATATAGCCACTCCAGGGGAAAAATTGAATTATGCACAGACATGCAGCAGAACGGTACAGACGTTATAGCAGCAGCACAAACCAAAATCCTGTGTTCCTCGTTTTAAATCCTCCAAATACATCACTTTCTTCCTCACGATGCATCCATAGTTTTGTCCTGTCCGGGTATCCACAATGCAGCGTGTAAATTCACAGTGACAGTTAGGGTTGTTACATTGAAGCAAACAGGACACCTCCAATGTTTTAATCTAGGCTAGGTATGTACTAAAAGTAGATTCCCAGATGTTGAAGAACTAACACGTCCGTGATGCTTTGTCTCCCTTTAGAATTTTAAATAATTAATGGAGATGTAGTTTTATAATATCTGGGGATCTAAATTTTGGCCACCCCTGTATTCCCTAGAATACCCTAAGAAAACACATAATATTGAGCAAAAAGGGCAGGGTAGAGTTTACGGATGCATAGCCCTGAGAATCTGACCAAATACCCTGGACACCCCTGTAAACATAACGACCTCCAGGGGACATGGGTCCTAACTATGTTTTGAGATCTTGTTTTATGAGGGGAGAGTTCTACTTTCACATAATAGTCAGAAAATTCCCCCTAAATATATTCTAATCCCAGCGCAACTCTTTGGTAATTACTGACCTTTTTGTAGACCTTCCAGAGATTGCAGGCGAATTATGTCTCCTTTATGGAAACTTAGAGAGCTCTTGTCTTCTGTGACATAGCTCTGTACTGCAACAACGTAGTTTGAATCCTGGAATCCAAGAACAAAAAGCATTTTAAAAAAACATTTGGGAGAGGGTAGTCCAACAAAGGCCCGTTATAAATATTTTGTTAATTCACTCTGAGGCGACATAGTAATGAATGTTAAACAGTGAGAGAGCATAGCTTAATAGATGTCACACACGCTTCATAACACACTCACCTTTTTCAGCTCCATCAAGAAGCAATCTATCATGGTCTTCACCTGACTGGACCGAGAGGAGAAGAGAATAAGCTTCTCATTTGTCAGATTAAACTCCAGCATGTTCTTTGAGAGAACCGTGACAAACATGATATCCGTGTAGCTGCAACAGGAACATAAAAATTAGTGGCAAGTTTTTTTCTGTTAGAAAACTTCCTAACTGTCCAAATGCTTCTGGACTGCCGTACAATGTGACAAGTCCATGTTCTGAATCTGTCTGTGGTAAGTACCTACCTGTAACTCCTCAAGACTCTTAGCTGCTCAGGGGTGGAGCCTCCGCTCCTCAGCTTCTTCAGAAGTTTTATCCCATTGTGCGACACCCCTAGGATTTGAACCCCAGTACCAACGCTCCCCTGTACACGGAACATGGGCGACCAGGTTAAACTACCTTTATCGACATTTTGTAGGTCATATGTCTTTTTGTCTCAATACAATTCTCTACCACACTCTTACCGCTGCTGGAAAAAGGCGTGAAAAGTACACCTCCCAATCCTCCCGGGCAGCTGTGACAATCTTCTTCTTCACTGCCTCATCAGTGATGGCATTTATAGAGTCTAATCTGTACTCCGCTGCATTGGACAAAAACAGGACAACTAATGTAGAATCTTTAGCGCATCATCCAAGTAGTATTATTAAACGTTAATAAATATTCAAAAAGTGAGCATTTATCAAAATATGTGCACAATAATATAATAAGTGTGCGATCTCCTAGAAGAATAATTATATAACTCTTTCACGTAGACATATAGAAAAACAGTCGCACAGTAGAAATTTTCCTAACGCTACCCCAGTGTAAGTGGATCTCCCATCCCATTGCATGCTCGGTTCAGTCATTATGTAACATGTTTTTTTTATGATTCTCAGAAACACTCACCTAGAAGGCTCCTCATTTTCTGTCTTTCCTCCTTGGTTATCCGAATGCAACTTTCTGACAGAGTATCATTAATAACCTTCAGAATACACAGTATAGAAAGAAGCAGAAAGAGGATGCAAAAAACATCATTGTATCAATATCAACATTACCAGAATGTTACTGAGAATAAATGTATATCCCAGACACGATGATGGGACTCAGATGTTCTCAGCATGCAATGCTTTTATTGCAAAGGATTCTGGGTCAGAGTATGCAAATACAGCCAATAATTACTGCCTATAACTGCAGTATCCACCTATCAATAAACCCCATATGTACGATGTACACTATTTAAATAGATTTCTAAGATAATTTGCTCACATACTGACTGCTTTAACGGCTATCACTGGGAACTCAGCCAATTAATGTCATCCAGGTTAATTCTGTATTATCAAAGTGAAAGACCCTTGGTTTATATCAAACCATTCTTAAATTGTTTGGTATTAAACCGAAGAATGGGAATAGAAGACTTTAGGCAATATAAACACTACAATGAGCTGTAGCAGTCAGTTTGCTTTTAAACATATAAGATGGTCTAGGTCAGAAATTGCGTAATACTTGTTTGATTCCAAAAATGTTTTAATATAAATCTACCACTAGAGGGCAGACAAGCACATCTCATAGAAAATCTCTTATGTTGAAACTGCATATCTTCTTACAAATCCCCTGAATATTATTATTATTATTATTATTAATATAGCGACAGCAAATTCCATAGCGCTGTACCCAGATGTAAAGTGACACGGTATTTTGTTACTTGGTATTTTCATATGAATCTACCACTAGCTTAGGGATTATCTGCAGTCAAGATTCAGTGGACTGTCTGAAAGTGATGTGAGTTACACTCCACCTCATCTCCAGTGTCTGTCTATAGTATGGAGGTTAAAGTGCTGGGTCCCTTGCTGTAATCATGCATACAAACATCACTACAACGTCAACTGATATTTTGAAGTCACCATTGTTAACGTGAACCCTGATTTATTTACTCATTTATAACCAGGATGGGAAGACTCACCTGTCTGAAGATTAGATCTAGGATCAGTGGATTATTGAAACTGTCTCTGGGGTAGAAAACCTACAGAAAAATACGAGGACTTCATGTGACTCTTCTCCAATATGAAATCACAATTAGGACACCAACAAATTAGAGTGTTCTGTTCTGTTACGCATATTCTATTCTATCACTGTAGCTAAACGCAGAGAACTGATTCATTAAATTACATTAATTGATTTTGTTCACATTAGTCGAATTTTTCATGACACCTCAATAAACAGGAGTGATTTCAATGTATTTTTCCTATGTGTGCATATATACACCATCAGTAATAATGCGAACATTTAGTGTTATGGGAAGCAATGAGATTCCACTGATTCCTATTAAAACACCTTTAATACATAACCCTTAGCCAACGCACCACCCTATGCGTTTCACCACTTACCTCCTTCCTGATGTATATTTTCCAAGGCACATTGTTATAGGTGTAGTATTCCTCGCTGTACTGCCGGTGCAGCTGGGTCTGAATATTCTCTTGTTCTTCGGACAGTTCCCGAGAGACAGACACTGGGTAATGGAAAAAGAACCGGCATTATATGCAGGCGACTCATCATTATAGCCATATTCAAAAACAGGGTGAAAGCACCCCAAGACTCCTTGCACCATAACCATTACAATAAGCTGTAGCAGTCAAGGTGCACTGAGTGCCCCTTTTCAAGGTGTTGCTTCTTGTTAAAGCAATAATTATTACATATATATTAATTTCCATAGCAAGCTAATAGGAACATTGCTGATTGTAATAAAGTATAAGCTACTAGATTAATCATGATGTATCAAGAATGGAGATTCTACCTGAAGCTGCTGTTGTGGGTCTTACACAGTTAACAGGTGGTGGGGAGTCAGGTTTCTTGGCCTTCATGCTGGGTACTGGTTTCACCAAAGCAACCGTATCTCTGGATGGCTAGACAGAACAAAAGAGAAGCAAACAAATCAACATTATCTGTTTTTATGGTTTTTTGTTGTTGTTGAGTTTTTACAGTATTTGTCAATGTAAGAGTCACAGGGGGTTAAACGTATGTGTATGTGGTAGATTAATATTACTTCTTTTTAAACCTTAGTATACTTTCCATAGATTGGATTTCTTTGCCACTGTTGTGTCCAGTAGAGGGAGCTGCTGATTTTACCTTTGGGACGTAAGACATAGCAGAGACTTGTGTTGGTCCAGTAAGAGGACGAGAAGGCATCTGTCTCTTTAGAATCTTCAAAGCTTCCTCATGAGGATCCATTTTCTTCCCAAAATATTTAGGTGGTTCTTTTCTGTGAGACCAAAACTAACATGTCAGATTGTCAAGTAATGTTTAAGATTGCTCCATCTTTGACAACAAATATTTCAATTTAATCAGGGTAGCTTAGAGGGAGCAACTCACTGATAGTATACAACCAGTGGAAGGTAAGGCAGAGGAAGGGGTGTAAATGTTTTTTTTCAAATGTTTTAGTACAGTGGATAAAGTATATAGAATCATGACATGTATAGTTGATTGTTATTAATATAGTGACAAAGAGAGGAGTAGAATAGGTACAATTGCATACAAACGGTATATCACATTATTGCGGAGCGTAATAACCCTGACATTGTTGATTATCCATACAATAGAGAAAGCATGAATTCAATAGAAACCTTTATTTTTAAAATGTATATTCACCCTCCTTGACATGCATTGAAAGAGGATTATTTCTATGTACAATCAATTGGATCCACTGGGTGAACCAACGGGGATAGAACGAAAAAGCAAAAAGAATGGATGGAAGGAAGTAAAGAGTGGGGGACATGGATAGGAGAGGTGGGGTTGGTGGGCCAGTGGGCACATATTACCTATCTTAGGTATGAAGAAGACAAACAGGGGATATATAGGAGAGGGAGCTAGGGTACACGTGATCCACAAGTGCACCTTGCCCTCCCGACTCCCTATCGTTCCCCTCGCCTAGTGTTTTTGTGACCCCCGGATCCACTATCGCCCTTCATTGATGGGCACTGTGTTCTTATTTATGATGTTCTAAGATCCTATCGGTTATGGTTATGATTATAGAGGTACTCATTCTTGTTTCTCCTTCCAGCCATCCCATAGTGGTGATAGTTTGACGCTTTTCCCAGTAATCTATATGCCATGTTCTCATAGTTATAGGTCAAGGACACCCTATCTATCACTTCTTTTATTTTTGGAGGATTGACAGTTTTCCAGTGGTGAGCTATACTAATTTTTGCTGCCTGCAAAATGTGGATGATGACAACCTTGTGTGTTATGCATTGTAAGGTAGGTATGAGATGCCAGAGGTAATATTCTGGTTTCAGTGGAATCTCTTCTTTTGTGGTTTCTTGGATGGTTGTTTTCACCTGTACCCAAAAGTGTTGGATCCCCTGACATTCCCAGAAGACGTGTATGCACGATCCCGGTTCCTGCCCACATCTACAGCATGAAGAGGCATCACTATATATCCTCGCTAGTTTTGTTGGGACCAAGTACCACCTCATCAAAATTTTTCAATATGATTCCCAATGGTTTAGGCTGCTTGACGGCTGCTTAGTTAGTTGGATAGATTGTATCCAAATGGGTAGCGGAATCGTTACCTTTGGCTCCCCCTCCCATTGTGTCATGTATGGGAGTTTGTCTGTGAATAGTGTGATATTGAGGGACATGTAGCAAAGGGCAAGGGATATCTGTGATGACAATTTGCCTACACATCGTTGTCCAAAGGGTGTCATTTGTGAAGTGTCTGTCGTCCCTATTTGTGCTGTAAAATGTGCTTTATTTTCAAGTAGGTGAAATTTTCACTAGATGGCAGGGATGGGTCCTTTTGTAGGGTGGGAAAGTCTTTGATGCCTGAGTTATCGCAAAAGGAGGTACTGGTGACAGGTATGTTTGATTACTGCGTGGTCCAACACTTCAGGCGTATACCTGGAGACAGCAAGGGGTGTAAATGTTGTTGCCAGGGAGGCACACAGACATTTTACACCAGGTGGATGGGAAGACAAGAAACTTACCTTACAACAGGTACTGGTGATCTGGGCCTATCCGGCTGCTTATATTGACTAATAATGTCCTTAATATTGTGGGTTGGCTGTGGAAAATGCTCTGAATTCACCTTGGTGTGAAAGACGATGTCATCAGGACGGGATAGAGTTGGGGGACCTACAGCATAAACAGAAGAAGATGTAATGGTCCACTGTGACTCGTTGCTTAACAAACCCACCCACTCTCACCATTGAAAACCTTCTGGACCCTATATGTCAGCCTCTGTAGCAACGATTGTGGAGAGCAACAGGTTCCATAACTACTCTTTATTCAAGCAAAGCCAAATAAATACATATTCAAAATAATCGTACGGAAAGTATAGTAACAATATGGTCTAACACAAAAAGTGAGTAGGGTTTAAGCACAGGTCTCTGGCCACGATCCAAGTATAAATTGACACTACATGCTAAAGTGGAAATACATTAAATTGTAAAAATAATACTTACCAGGTCTATGATACATGGAACCATCTCTGGTGGGGGATGTCTGAGTCCTACTTGAAGAACCCATCACAGCGTTCCTCTATGAACGAGAGAAGGATTAAATGTGAACGAAGCATGTAGTCCACCCTATATCCTCTGACCACTTTCTGCTTTACCCGGGCTTTATACATTACTAAGATCAGATGTCCAATAAGAGACAAACACTATGTCATAAATTATTATTATTGAAAGAGCTATGAGAATGTGAATGTGACTTGGTTATTGGAAGAGCTCAGACCTGTGTACCCCTATACCATGATCCATACATACTGAAACATTACCCTTAATTAAACCATATGTACCACTTGTTGTTAAGTCCTTTTAGAGAGAACCTACTGTGATGTAGAGAGAAAATAATACCTGTGGTGGTAACCCAGTGCGGGGAATTGGTGCAACTGTTGGGGTCACTCGGTGACTAGAATGACGGGTCTGGGAATGAATGCTTGGTCTGGTCCTGGAGGGTGGTGGGGTCTCCCCAGGGGAATTATTGGTCATTTGTTGTTGCAGTGCCAATGCTTGCATGGTCATTTGTTGGGCCTAGAGACAGGAACAGTGTAAAAGTGTTTATGGTTAAAGTCAGCAAGGTAAACCTCTGTCATATTGAGATTGCACTTTAAAACTAATATATATAATATAACAAATATATAGAAGATTTATAAAATGTAGAAATTAAGTGAAATAAAAATAAACTAGGAAATGACTTGCTTTGAGAGTAAAACTCAATGTGCATCTTCAAAATCCAGACCCTCCTGGCACAGCCAGGGCACGCATTGCAATGGAGGAGAATAATAGAAACATTGTTTCATTTCTCCTGCTCTCTCTATGCTCCTGCTATGCTGACTGACAGGTGCAAAGAACAGACTCTGTAACAATTACTGGCAGGGATCCAAGATGGAGGCCCCCAGTTCCAATGTGGATGTCTACATTTAATGTTATTTCATTTTAGTTTTCAGTCGTTACAAATATGTTTATTAAATATAAAGGATAAATGAATAGAAAAAAAAAATCATAAAAATCCTTTAAAGTGACAGGCCCCTTTAAAGGGATACTGTAGTGCCAGGAATACAAAGCTATAATCCTGGCACTACCGGTTCCTCTGTCTCCCCCCTTCCTCGTGCCCCCCTCCTGGGTTAATAAAGGGTTACCTTATCAGTACCAATATCCCTCGGCGCTGGGTCGGAGCTCCGCCCCCTCCAATATCCCGTGACGAGCGGGGCCTAATGCGCATGTGCGGCAAATAAGGAGCGCTTTTGACCTCCCCATAGAAAAGCATTGAATCAATCCTTTCTGATAGGGAAAAATTTTACACTGGAGGCCCTCATGCAGAGCGTGAGGATGTCCAGTGTCAGATAATGGACCAAATGTCTGTTACGATTCCGGAAGCGCCCCCAGTGGCTGCCAGGTATACAGCCACTGAGGGCAGACTTAGTGCTGCAATGTTAATATTGCAGTTTCTCTGAAACGGCAATGTTTTACATTGCATCACTAGGTGCAAAAGGGACACTGCACCCAGACCACTTCAATTAGCTGAAGTGGTCTGGGTGCCTACAATGTCCCTTTAATATTTACTATTTGAAATCCATTATAACTGTATCACTTAGGAATTCCTCTGAATTGAATCCAGTGTCTTGCTTACCAGTAACATGGCTTGTTGGTTGATATACGCTTGTTGCTGTGCATACATTGCTTGCTCCAGATCTATAGACACAGATACAATAATCATTTAAGGGAAAAGAAATGATATACATGTGGTCAATCTGAAATTAAAATGGTACTTTCCACAAACGCTAAACAATACAGAGGGTTATTCACTAGGGAGAGTTTGTGGTGAGTTCAAAGTAAATTTCGAATTTAAAGTCAAATTAGCCAAACTGGAAAAATTCTCAGCTATGCATTCGATTTGGCTACTCGGGCCTAAAATCTGAAAATGATTTTGAATTCATAATGTATCGGCTACTTAAAAGGGAATCCAAAACAGAAAATCATTATTTGTTTATCCTGTAAAACATCTATGAAGATTGCCTTGAGACTAAAGTTAATGTGTTATGATATTTTTATAGCATAGTACTTATCTCTTTATTACAATACTGCTATAATATACTGCTGGGTTTTAATGCCATTCTTGCTGAAGACCAGTTAAGGCCTATTCCAAGTGTGAATAAGATTCAAGTGCATTATGCATAATCCCCCAGCTCTCTATGTAACGTCGCTGTTAGCTGACTGTAATACATAGTTATTAGAGTGACGTCTGGCTGACCTTAGCCATCAGTCAAGTTACACAGCCTGGGGCACTCATGTAATAATACTCTCCAACCACGCAGAGATACCCGTAAAATAGCAGAGGTATACAAGCCTTTACATTTACATTCCAATAAATTTAAATCCAGATACATTAGTATAAAATAAATTAAATTCAAAATTCTCATATTTCGTTACTTGTGCTTTCTAGTGAGAAATACTTGCGTATATCTGACCCCACTTTACTGCGATCAGTATTTTAATTAAAAGTATGTAAAGTAAATTGTAGATCAAATTGCTTTTAATTGAAGAGTGACAGTATATTATATCCCTGTGCCTTGTGTGTGATGGCCAGTTGCTCTCACTTTGTATCTTGTATTATTGAAATATCTCATACGGTGGAAACTGAAATAAACTGCCTATTTATTTTTAGGTAATTAGTGGTAGCTTATTTAAGCAGGACCCCATTCATTGTAACACAAGCGATAGAATTCACGTAGCAGAGAGAACAATTCCATCAGGCTGTAAATAACTGACTAGACCCTAGAATTGTATTGATTGAAAAAACGAAATTAAATTTAAGCATAAATACGTATCCAAGCAGTGACCAAGACAGATATGAATAATCTGTATTTAAATAATCTGAAATTTAAATATAAATATAAATATCATGAAAATTAATCAACTGATAACGTTTCAATCAAACACACTTGTTAGATTTTATTCTCTGTTGAGAATTTCCAAGGAAGTGACAGTTAATTCGCAGTATAAATGGGGTGTCTTACCCCTGGTCCTCACAGGATAAATGTGAAGTTTTACTGCTGATGAGCTTGCTTTATGAAAGATAATCAGGCAGCCAGTTTGGTCTCATATTTCACTGCTGATCTATGACAACAGGTAATATCCCATATTCCTGGTACCTGCAGGTGCCACATGGTACTTACCTGCCTGATGGGATCCTTCTGCCTGAAAGTTGGTACCTTCTGGTGCGTCCTCCCTGTCTCTCTCTCCAGCTGCGCCACCACCTTTCATCTTTTGGGACATGGCAGTCAGCTTCTCCAGATCCTACAGAGAGAAGAAGAGACCAGCTGTAGGGTGAACATGATCTCTGTGCTCTGACAGGGAATCAGATAGCTGACAACCAGGACACATATAACCCTTCCAGTGCCACATCCCGCTAGGGGCCACAGTGATCCACCTCACCATCCCTTATAGAGTAAATATAAGAGACACAGGAGAATGCAAAGCATGTTTGTGTTTGATACGTTTAGATCTTTAGCACCACTTTTCACAACTTGATACTTTGATGCATCTGCCCCCATTCTGCTGGTGATGATTGTGCCGTATTCACAGCTTTGCTCCAGAATTGCACCAGTATTGATAAATATAGCTGTTTGTGTCACAGAGCGTTGAGTATCCCGAGCAGTGTATCTGCTTACTATTATTATTATGATATTTATATAGCGCCATCAAATTCCGCAGCGCTTTACATTACTATGTAAATGTGTATGTAATGTGACCTCACAGCGCTCCCTTAGTGATGGATAGTGGATGGATATGTGGTCCTTTAAACTTTTTGGGTTGGTTGGTGGGGTACTTTTAGGCCCCCACCCCGTGTCTCTCCTCTTTCCCATGCTTCTTCTGTCTCTCTCCTTCCTCTCTCCTCCCTCCTTTTCTCTAACTCGGTTCTACTTCCTCTTTCTCTCTTTAATTCTCTGCTTCACAGATTCCTACTCCTGCTTGACCGGAACGTACAGCTATGGGTGATCTTCCACTTTTTGACCCTATGTTTGCCAGACGAAGGTTGAGCTTAGTAAATTGTTTGTCAGCTAGAAGTTCCCATTCAGCGTTAAAGTGTTTATTCCATCAGATGTTATCCTTTGCCAGCCATGCATACTATTCATGTTCAGTACACGTGTGATGACTATCTTAGTCTTTTCTGTTGTTAATATCCAAAAAACACTTGAATAAAGATTTGCAAAAAAAACAACAAAACATAATGTGACCTCTATGTTCACGATCCTTCACCTATGACTTCGCATTTATCATATTATACTCGTATTATGTAAATATGATAAACAGTTTAAAGGGGCACTGCCACATTTGTGATACATTCAGTTTTGCCATATAGATACATTTATTATATATGTTGCACATTCCTTACCCCATTTCCGTAGGACAGCACCGGGTCAAACAGGCTGTCTAGATAATGGTCCATCCCTTTCTGAGTAGGAGCTTCACTCAATGTATCTGAATCTATAAGCAGGCAGAAGAAATATGCATGGTGTCACAATGTCGCTAAACACCAAGACTACAAACACCTCTATATCCTAAAATAAATTAAATACATCAAAGGCTGAAATTGGGTCACTTCAGGTGGATTTAAAAAATAAAAGAATAAAAGCATTGTTTTAATGCAGGCTGTGTGAGTGATATTAGGGCTGCATAAACAGTAACAAAGGTGATTTACCTCCTAAATGGTAGAGAATTCAGCTGTGACACTGCCAAAAATTCATTATAATAATATTTTGAGGCATTTATCGTATTCCAAGGTCTCGCTAAGGTATTCTGCAAGTAAAGCTTGGCGGTAGGTTTGAACTCTTTCAAGATAAACTTACTTTTATTCAATTTCCCAACAACAGAGGGACCCACCAGACTCACCATGGCTGTAGTAACCATCGGAATCTGGCACAGCCGGAGGTGGTAAGGTCGGCGCTTTTACGCTTGGTGGTGGCGGAACCTCTTCCTCCATGTCAGAACCATTGGCAAATACTCTAAGGGCAAAATAAGTATTAGCGTTAATGATCATTAGTCAACATACTACGGGTGTTTTTCTCATCACACAACTGTATAGAAAAATGACACAATAATATGAAATATGTCAATACAGACAAATCATGATGCCAATGAAGGTATAACATTAAAGATCACAGGCTCTCTTTTAGTAAGTTATTATCATTTAATCTATACAGCGTGTTGGTGAAACTGTCTGCAAATGATGTGTTGATTCATTTAAATTCTCAAATGCTGTTTGCTTCCTGGTCTGTACAGTGGAGTGAATACACACACAAACACCACTAATTAGGAACATAGATCTCTCTGGCATTCGTGGTGGAGATGGAGAGCACCAGAGAAAGATAAGAAGATTAAAAAGTCTAACTGTATAAAAATGGTGCATTCCTGGCACCGTAACCACTGCAGCAGGTTACGGTGCTTGGAGTGTTGTTTTAAACTCACTTCATATTCCAGAGAATTCACTCTTAAGTGAATAACCCTGCTACAGTCAAAATATCCTTAGAATCCTATGGGTAGGCTAATCCCATTATTTAATGTTGATTCTGGTACCTTGGTTTTCATATGAAGTGATGTAACAGCACCATGGATGAAAAGTATCAATGCATGCTGGGTATTCCACTTTGCAGAATGTCCTAATATTACAAATTGTTTTCTTTTTTTTAAAATAAACATACTTTACAGTGGCGCATGTGATAGCCTAATTGTTCTTGTTCAGGACTACTGACATGAGATACTCACATACTGGGATATTCCAGGTTCTCCCGAGTCCCCTCCGAAGCTGTGATAAAGTAAGACTTCTGTTTAGGAAATTCTCTGGGTAATTCCACATCAGAGATCAGATCCAAGACATAATCATGGCCGGCTAGCTCTGCCCAGTTACCCCCATCCTTTATGGAGACCGACCACCCACGCCAGCCTTCCATCACACCCCTGAGGAGAGAGAAGGTATAAACTTGAATGCATGGGTCTTGTGTCGACCAATCAGGAAATAGCTAGTGATGATAATGAAATTTCACAATAATTAGCAATAGATTTATTAAAGGGTTATATTTTATAAAACACTGGTTCTGGTTTTAGTAACCCTCCCTGGTTGTAGTAACCCTCCCTGTGGTGGGTTTTAGTAACCCTCCCTGTGGTGGGTTTTAGTAACCCTCCCTGTGGTGGGTTTTAGTAACCCTCCCTGTGGTGGTCATCCCACAGGGAACTTAAACTTACCTTTTTTTCAGTGTTGAAGAAAAGCTCTACCTTAGCCCAATCACCCTAAGCTAATGGCACACCCCTCAGAGGGAGGTCAAGGAGTAGCGATTGACGGGAGAACATCGTCTGCACGGAATTGACAATAGTCAACATGAGAATTTGTTCTGGGCTGCCTAATGATGCTGCAGGAAGTGGAGTTAAACCTCTAGAAGCAAGGCGATTAATCTATTTATGTGCCGCGTTTCATACTGAATCACTGCACAAACAGACCCCAGGCACCATGACCACTTCAAATCACTGAGGTGGTCATGGCTCTTGGACTACCCTTTAATGTCAGTCTTACCTGTGTCTGAGGACATCTCCGGCTATCTCCTCCCCATCCGTCCAAGAGTGAATAGGAGACAAAATCAAGGTACCTAGTGAATACAGAAGGGACAATGTTATAACAAAATCACACCTACAAAGTGTCCCTATTTAGGAGGGATATTCCCTATTTTAGTCTCTAATGTCCTTGTCCATCTTTTCTATCCTAATGTCCCTCTTTTCCATAAACTCAACATTAATTGAATTGTCTGAGTGTAAAACAGAGCTTTTCAGCATTAAAAACCACAGTAATGCATGTGTAATCTACAATAAATGGGTTTAGAAATACGATCTTGTTCTACATATTGTTAGTAGGTCATTAAAGGTACACTCCTTAGAGCAATTGATAGATTTTGGCCTTGTATACATGCTCCATTTTTTTTCCACATTGTAACCAGCTATGTTAAGTTTTTTGCAGCATAACTCCACCCCCTTAACCACACACACACTTTTCACAAAATCTCTTCCTGAGTAGAAGTACTCAATGTATGTACGCAGCTCAGCTAATGAGAGCTGTGTGGCTGCCATGACTCTGCCCCAGAGCCAATAACTGAGGTACTATAAGGAACATATTTACATATCAACTAAAACTCTTTGCACAAACATACCGTCAAAGCAATGGATGTCGAGTGCCATGTTAGCTCTCTCTCTGCTTGCCGTCCACTCCAACAGGCAAGGAGGGAATGTCCTAGCAGTCTCTGACCCTTGTTGTGATTTTTGTATTGCCTGAATAAGCTTGTGTTGGCACACAGATTTATATCCGTTGTAGGCATAGTCAGAAACGTACCTAGACACAATACAAGGTACGTTATGAGTACACAGGGCACACAAAGACATTGGGATTAACACACAGCTTCAGATAGTTATATACACAATCTTATTCTACCCAAAAGGACACCATCAAAAGAATAGATTAAAATAACAAAACAGCTTTAGACAGTATTTGAATTCTACACACTGCAGGGCAGCTCTTTTCACTTGCTGTCCATCGACATGTAATATGTGTTCACTCTGGCAGTCCTGGAGCTCTGTGTAAAGGACCCCAGTTATGCTAAAGGGTAAGTAAGCTGAGAGAGATCAATATTCTATTTCAGAACACTCTGTTCCACTGTAATGTAATCAATAACAATTTTACTAAATAGATATCTGCATATGGTTTTGTTATATATTTACCAGCTGGTTATATTTTCTTGGTTTACATACATTATCCACTGAAAAGCAATATCCTGTGGAAGCCATCACTACAAATGTATAGGACCAGTCTAGGCACCATAATTACTACATGCTGCAGTTACGCTGCAAGTACTGTCCCCTGGTTTTGGATCAGACTGTTTTCGACTGGCTTAGCCATTAATTGGGATAATGTTAAGGCATTATTTCAACTTCTGCATTAGCAAAATCAATTTTGCCTATATTTTAAAGCATTTTATTGGCTGAATGAATCTGCTTATGCACAGAGCACACAGCCTAATTGAACTATAAGCACTACATCAGCATCAGAGCAGAATTAGCCATAAGGTGACCCTAAGCAGCTGCCTAGGGCCCAGTGGTTAGACAGGGGTACTGGAACTGTGAGTAACCTGCGTAGGGCAGCATGTAGTGGTTATGGTGCATAGTCTGTCCCTTTAAACATATATACATTTGTTTACATGTGTCGACATGGCTTAAATTGTGGCGATTGAAGATTTTTATGTTTTTGGAGACCACCTGTATTTGTAGTCATATCATTTGTACATTTAAACAACAAAGTTGGTGTATACGTATGCTGAATATATGTAAGCGGATTAAGTTTGCATTAAGATACTGAGTGCTATTTGTATTATAGTTATATACCTTTCAGAAAACAGAGCAATTGCCTGCTTCCATGCATTGCATACATTGTACACAGCCAATACACTCATAATTTGCTTTTATGTTTTACTACCACCTGTTAGCTTCTTGAGAGCCATTGTGTTAGGAACAAATATTAAATCTGGGAGTCTTTGTAGTTATTGTGTATCCTATTCAATCACACTGTATAGAAATACTGCACGTGCTCTTTAATCTCCACAATACACAGAATAATATGAATGAACTGTTGTTTAAGTGATGCTCTGTCGCCTGGCGCCACTTGGCAATATGTAGCCTCTGGCATTTATTGTGTCTTTCTATCATAGACCAGCTTGGAGAGCAGAGGATTAGAATGTCATAGAAATATCCTTAAACCGAAACGGTAAAAGGTTTCTTCTTCCGTTTCTCATCCACAACAAGGCCTTCCATATGCACAGAGTTTTATATACTTTGGAAATCAACTAATTATTTAGGCAGGATCACATTGAGATTCCTCCTTGTTTAATTAATTGATTTCTTTGGAAGTGTATTCCACCCAATTATGTCATATTCCCTGAAACAGTCTGTTCTCTGGTCTGTGTTCTGTTCACCAATATTTACAGATAAATAATGACACATTTCAGTTGGTTAGCAAAATACACACTTGAGTAGGTACTTGTCCAGGTTAGGCGATGGAGCAAATGAGCTCAGACAGGAGGCAAGGAGGTACCAGCCACGTTCCTCATTGTTAGGATTGGTGTTCCTCCACACCTGGTTGGCTATTTGGGCTAAAATTTCATCTCTCAGGCCCACGTTTGTCAAACCTTTCTGTATGACATAATTCCCATACAATGTTTCTTGGGCTCCATCCAAGAACGGGTCACCCATGAACCTTAAAATCTAGGATGAACCAAGAGTAGAAAACAATGAGAGTAATACCATGTGGACATCCACAAAGTCAGGATGGGTATTATTATGTTTGTGGACCCTAGCATATTTTTGGGCAGGAAGAAAAATAAGTAATCATGAATGTGCTTGAGGAACCTTGCACTGCTATGTAAAAGACAACTACTACATTTACACTCATGTGATACTGTAGCAAACATACCAGCTTAAATGAAGTTATGGCTTGTGGTCTCAACTCGTCTTCAATAGGGAGCAGAGAAGATCCAAGTGGCACAGTGAGCATCCCAAATAGAGGTTCCTGCAACACAAGGAGATTACTAGACTGATTGATTTGTCAAAAAAATAAAAGTGCCAGTGAGGCACAAAATGTGTCAGTAGTGATCTTCACTCTCCCTGCTGTGTGTCCTAACTGCATGT